TAGCTCTAGGCACTCATGTGTGTCCTATATCGAGTTCACACATGTCCTATATTGAGTTCATACATGTCCCATATCAAATCCATACACATCCTGTATCAAATCCACACATGCCCTGTATCAGATCGAGGAACTGAAGAAATAGAAATCGTGCTATTTTTAGATCGAACTTTGTTATCACGAACTGATGCTGAGTGTTTCCGAATGCTTCATTTCGGGGGCGTGGAAAACCGCACTGGGGTGTGCGCGTTAAACCAGCCTCGCCTGTCAAGGGCAGCCCCGACTCGGTCACAGTACGCACTGTTGCATTTGACTTCTGTTTTTAAAGGGTTTTTATGCCCATGTTCATGAGAGATATTGGTCTGTAATATTTTTCCCTGCCGATGTTGGGTAACTTCCAGTTTGGGTTCTTATAAACAGTCGTGTCATGACCGTTCTTGCACTTCTTTTTGTGGGCGACACCACACCTTCTCGTTGGGTAAACGCCTTGCGATGGAATTGCTGGGCCACGGGGCGTGTGCGTGGCCAACCCCGGGGAATGCGGCCAAAGCGGTGTGCTGTGTCCGCGCCCCCCACCTGGGGGTAGCAGTGTCGCTCAGAGCGCAACCCGTCTGCTGCACAGGGAGTCCAGACAGTGAGCGTGAGCATTCAGACACTTCCATGGAAACGAAGGTTTCCACGTGGGGTCACAGCCTTGCCTGACCGGATGCTGGCAGGTCAGATGCCCCACTGTGTGCTGAGGCGCAGCCAGCAGAAACTCTGTCCTGGTCTCACGTGCAGACCCCGTCTGGGTCTGCAGGGCCCCGCACGTCCAGGAGGAGGGACGCGGCCCTCCGCCCCTCGGCTGCAGGAACCTGCGCCTCGTGGGACGCGTGGTGTCTGCGTGTCCTTGTCAACACTGGCGATTTTCCTGGCCTTCCAGGCGGGTGTCCTGAGGTCGGGTCCTGCGACTCCCATTTCACTTTCCCAAGGGCTGCGGGAGTCGCGCACTCGCCGTGTTTCTTGGCCACCAGACACGCCTTCGTGTGAAGTGCCGATGCGAGTCTTTCGCCTGTTTTACCGTGTGTGGTTTTCTGTTTTCCCAGAACATTTAACCTGCGTCCTTTCCTAACTCCTCCCCATTTCTGGGAGGCAGAAGGTGAGTGAAATGTAAGGGGGGCAAAACCCTGATTCAAAAACGAGTTCGTGTGAGTTCACTCATCCATTCACTCAGTTCACTGGGTCCATGTTGCTGGGACTCCGCCACGTGTCAAGCGCTGCCTGTCACAGTGGGGGAACTGCACCAAGCGAGTTAACGCCGTTCTCGCCCTCGGAGAATTCTGCCCCCGTGGGGAGGACGGAACGATACACGGCTGACTTTGGATGGTGGTCCAGGGCTATGAAAAATACCAGGTAACACGAGAATAACTGGGATGGGGGGATACTGTGGCTAGACTGGTAAAATTCGGTTTTTCTAAAGAAATTATATTTAAGCTTCCAGCAGAATAAGAGAAGGAGGCAGCCCTATGACAGTCATTGGGAAGAGCATTCCAGGAAAAGAGAATGTCAGGTGCAAAGGTCCTGAGGTAGAAACAAGCTGGCGTGTGTGTTAATAAGAGGAAACGTATTCTCCTATTTGGGTCGAATTGCTGTAGACCCAACAGAGGCCTGACTCGGGGTCTTGCTGCTCTCAGACCCTCTGACACCCTCCTACTTCTGTGTCCCCCCCACTTAATGTGGGTTTACTGTCCACACCTGTGACGGGAGTGAGTCTTTGTGAGACTGAGCTCAGAGTCCGGAGCAGCTTCGCCCACCCCGGTGGGGAGCAGGAATTATCTGGGGGTACCACACCCCACTTCCCCATCTTCCCAGCAGCCCCGGTCCAGTGTTCGAAGGACCCAGCGCCCGTGCCTGGAGTTCAGGCAAATTCAGGGCGCGTCTGAGCTTCAGAGAGTCAGGAGGGGTTGGGCCACAGTGGAGACTTTTCCGCACAGTGAGTTTCTTCTGGGAGCCCTGCCCCCATCAGTTGGTTGTGCCCAGATTCTCACCCAAGGGTGGGCTCTTAGGGAACCCCGTTTCGACGGCCTGATCGGTGGTGGCTGCAGTGGCTGCTCCTTTTCCTTTTGTGAACCCGTGTCCGTGACACCAGGTAACAGCCTGCGCTGCGACATCAGGCAGCCCCGGGTGTGAATTCCACCTGTCTTCTCCCACTCTGCCTTTGGACAGGTGGCCCACTCTCTCCGGGCCTCATTTCTTCAGTTACAAATGGGGGGGAAGCAAAGAGAGGGGTGCCGAGTGGAGGCTCAGGTTCAGCTGCTCCGACGAACCCTTTCGGACCTTATCAGTGAGCCCCTGGAGGGCTGCCAGTCCGAGCCGCTTCTCCCTCCTATTGCCAGGGAAACGCCCCGCAGTCCCCAGCAGCGCTGGGCTTGGCTGGGGCCAGGGGTGGGGCCTTTCTGGGACTTGCAGGGTCCCTCTAGGGAACCCTTTCATTCCATCCTCAGAGGCCCCTGGCCAGAATAGAAGGTTCTATTATAATTGTTCCAAAGATAAGAACCTCATGCCCAGCAGGGCCAAGCTGCCGGGACGCAGGGCGTGTGAGTTAGGGCTCCAAAGTGGAGGTGTCTGGGCAGCGCCCTGGCTCCGGGGGGAGGGCAGGGCTCCGTCTTGGCTCCCAGGCCCGTCCTGGTGGAAGAAGCCACGTGTCTGCCTGTCATTCCCGGAGAAGGTCAGTCCAGCAGGCCAAGCCCCTAGCTGCTGAAGCTCCTCCCAGGGGCAGGACCCAGGGGTGGGCAGGGCCTTGTGCCATATTCTTGAGATTGCTCCTGGGCAAAGTTGGTCTTCAGTCCCCAGGCCCTCTGGGCTGTGGCATGTCTCTGGGGTCACATCTGAGTCCACAGCCTCTATGCGTGCACCCTGTTCTGACTGCTCACGCAGATGTGGGACCCTGCCTGCCCTTACCTCTTCCCCCTCCTGAGCTTTCAGAGGCCGGGTTGCAGGCAGGAGGGTGACTCAGGCTGCCACACCTGCAGGCAAAACTGATTGGGGGGAGGGGGTGTGCTGGGGGCGGGGCTTGGCAGGCTCCCTGCAGTCCCAGGTGCAGGTTACCGACGGGAAGCGCAGAGGCTGGTCAGCACCCTGCGGGCGGCCGCTCTCCTGAGCAGACCGCCGGAGGCTCCCAGCCAGCGGCCCTCCTCCTCCTCCGTTTCCTACTGGGGCAACCAAACTCACTCCCCCGCAGCTAACCATGGGTGGGACCCCGTCTCCACTAATGGGATCCTTCTAGTAGCTAAAGGTAGACTTCCGAAGGGTCCCAGGACATTCTGGGTCCCGGACGATAGAGTCTTGTCCCCTTGGAAACCACGGCTTACTTCCTCTCTTTTCCCCCAGGACCAGGTTTGGGGCGCTGGGGGCATGGACAGTCGGGCTGAGGAGCACCAGGAGGCCTGCAGGCCGCCTCCCAGAGCGCAGGGTCGAGCCTGTCGGGTGCCCCACACCCTCAGCCCGGCCCCAGGGAGGGAAGGACGCCCCCGCCGCGGAGGAACTCAACTGAGTTCTTCTTTACAACTACTTTGCATTTTCCTTCCTCCGCGTTAGCAACCGCATCCTGTCACAGGTTTCTCTTCAGTGCTGCTTTCTGTTCGATTGGAGCGGATTCAAACCCATCCTGGGTTTCGTGGGGCCCCCAAACACGCCCCAGGAGAGAGTTGTCTCAGGGAGACAGTTCGCCAAGTTCACAGAAATAGACAGTCGAGCCTGCGGTCAGTGTCAGGGAGAAACCGCTGCTTGGCAGCGCGTGGGCACCTTCCCATCAGGCTCCGGGGCAGGGGCACCCAGAGAAGAAAGCGGAACCCAGAGAGCGGTGAATGAGCTTTCTTACAGCCTCCTTACACCTGGGGTGCGAGGAGGGAGCTGCCTGCAGTTTCCTGGACAGCAGCTTCCTCTGGGGGCGGGGAGGTGGCTCTTGCGGCGCCCAGGAGCCAGGCAGCCCTGGACAGGCACTGGATTGGGCCGGGCCAGGGTGGGCGGCTGTGAGCAGACCCCCCACCCCCGCCCGCTGCCTCGGCAGAGCAGGTGCGCTCTCAGCTGCCCCCCACCCCCTGCCCCCATGATGATTTATCTAAACAAAATGTTGTTTTTGTTCAGGGCTCTCTCCGCCCTGCGGCCTCAGCCACAGGAGAGCAGACCTCTTGGCCCTCCAGCCCTGCGTTTGGCTGCCCGCCCTTATTTTTAGTAGAAGTATAAAAAGAATCTCAACAAGCTTTAGCTCGGGAGGGAGAAAGTGAAAACACGGCCGAGCCGAGAGCCCACAAACACACCGCACTTGACTCTGGGGGAGGACAGCCCCACAGCACGGTTTGAAAGTATAAGTTTAGGGTCGTTGCTTTGTGGTTATTTTTCTAAATAGGGCATGGGAGGTGAAGACTACCTACCTGGAGCACATTTTTACGTTTGAGGCTCCCCCCCTCGATTCCCCCCCCCCCCCCCGGGAACTTGGGCCACCCACTTCTAGATAAGAATGTAGATTTTAAGGATAATAACAGTCATAATATAGTGTTGGCTAAACTCACCTCGGGAAAAGATATCATCCAAAGACATTTTTTGCTACTTTTAATGTGTGCCTGGCACTGTGTGGCAGCTTCAGAATACCATTCTGCTATTTAGATTTTCAAGGGCTTTGGCCTGAAGTCCTTTACAAATAAAAGAATCCAAATACAATTTACCACAGAGGGTCTTTCCCCCGCTTTGGGGGGTCCTATAATGTGATACCGACAGGTTTCTCCCACTAAAACGGGGGCTCCTGTTCTGCAGGAATTAACAAAACCCAGGCGGAATGAATCAACACCCCGGTTCAGAAGTTCAGAGCCTTCGTCTGGGGAGCAAAGTCTTCCCCGGAGCGGAGGGGCGTTCAAAGGGAGGCCTCGGTGCTAATGGGGTTGTTATTGTTAAAGATATACCTGAGAGCAGATAAATATTTGACAGTTTCGCAAAGCACTGGGGTTTCTTCGCAGTTTCCCTCCTGCTGACACGGTTTCCCCCACAGGCTCGGGACCTCGTGGCTTCACCAGACTTTGCAAAGGAAGGGAGCTGGGGGCTTCCCGAGAGCGCGCTGGTGTGGAGGAACTTCGCTGGAAGCAGCAGACCGGGGTTCACAAAGAGGGGTGTGTGTGCCTGTGCGTGCGTGCATGCGTGCATGCGTGCCTGCATCTGGGTTGGGGGGGCGGTGCGGAGATGAGGGTTACAAAGCTGCCATCTAGAGGCGGCTCGCTGCAGTGTATATATTGCACGTCCGCAGCCCTGGAGCTCCAGTCGCTCGGAACTGCTCGGCCCTAAGGCGGGGAGCGCAGGAGCCGGAGCCAGCCGGGAGGTAAGGAAACCGTTCCTCCTGCAGCCCTGGTGGGGAGGGGGCGGCCGGCGGGCGGTGGGCAGGGCTCCTGCTCTTAAGCCGAGGGGTCTTTGTTGGAAGCTTCTTTCAAATCGCGGGGGTGGGAGCTTGGAAGGTGCAGGTCTGCGTTCTGAGAGCCGGGCGGCTGGTCACACGGCCGCCTGGCAGAGCCTGGCCGCTGCCCCGGGGAGGGGGCACCTTTCCCTGCAGACAGTGCAAAGGGCAGCTTCCTCAGGCCACTTGTGGGGCGACCCCTCCGGGCGTCTGCTGGACTTAGGAATCTGGTGTTCATTGGCTGCTGTGGGAATTTAAGATCCAGGGAGCGCAGGGCTTCACCAGAAGGTGGGCTGTTCACTCTGCTTTTGAGAGTTGGCACGGGGGCTGTGTGCGGGACACCCTGCTTACTGCGTTCGCTCCCAGTACATCGCTGGGAGTTGGAGTCAGCGGTTCACAGGCAGTTCCAGGAAGATGTGCGCTGCGTGAGGGGAAGCAGAATCGGGCTGAGCTTCTGTGGAGCTGGGGTGTGTTTGAGTTTAGTGCTTTGCGGGGCTGGGGGGGGGTGTCCCCGAATTCTGGAAGCCAGAGGGCTCCAAGACTGAGTGTTCAATGCAGCTGGCGCTGTCTCCTTGTCTCTTGATGCAGCGCATCCTTGATAATCAAATTTCTTGTTCGCTCAGAAGGTGTTAAGTCCAACTTCAGCTGGGAAAAAAAGTGCACAAGTCTAAGCCTTTGTAATTTAAATATACTCTCCAGGTAAAACGTGAATTTTGCTTGATTTTGTGAGCACGCTCATGTCCCCAGGAGGCATCTCAGAAGGGCTTTGGAGTGAGGTCAGAGGTGGGTGGGTGCGGGTGACTTGTAATTTCCAGACAGAACGAGAAGTTGTAAAAGTCAGACCGGCTGTCTCTTTCTTTCCTTCTTTTCTTCCTTTCTCTCTCTCTCTCTTTCTCACAATTCATCAGCTCACAACAGAATAATTACATTTTCCCAGAAGTGGTATGCCACCCCCTCCCCCCCACAACGGTTTACAGTCCTTTGAAAGTTCGTTCTGCAGAGTCGCGATGTGATAACTTTTCCTTCTCTTTTTAGACGCAGATGCTGCCTGGGCGTGCCTTTATTTATGCCAGGAAAATGCCGAGACCAAATCAGCTTGCCTAGGGAAGAAAGCCGGGACTGCGGGACTGGGGGGCTGTGGGGGCTGCCGCACTTTGCATAGATTTTAAAGGGAGACGCTGCCGGCTGCCTCGCTGCCCCCCCAGCTCCCCGATGCAGGGCCCTCTCAGAGGCACAGTTGCACGTGGGGGCTCGAGCTTGGAAACAATTTGCTCTTTTTTCTCCAGCTCTGCCATAAACACTTGACTGTGCACAACTGCGAAGCTTGATGCCACAGCCTCTGGGGCGGGGGAGGGGCAGCGGGGGTGGAAAAACAAAAGAAAAGCAGACGTGCAGGTGGGAAGGCAAAAGAAAACTGGAAAGCGCCTGCCTTTCGCTGCCCATCTGATTTTTTTTCAAAGGGGCGTGCACTGCAATCAGAGTTGAAGGAAACTTTGGGGAAGAATAGCAAAAGCAGCTGCCCGCCTTCAAAGGCAGGCGGGACCTGGGAGGGGTGGTTCTCCCCTGTTTCAGCAAGTCCTGGGAGAGTTAAGTAAGGTATCAGGGTTTCCAGTCAGGCCCTGAGCAGGCAAAGTGTAGGCTTTCTGGATGGAAAAAAAAATCCACACACAAAAAAAGAAACAAACAAAAAAACCTATTTACTCAGGAACAGTGGCTTTTTGTGCGACGTTTGAGGCAGCGGGGCTCTCATTTTCCAGGAGACACGCGGGAAGTCGGTGGCAGTTACTCGGGCCTGAGGGCAAGGGTCACGCTAAATCCTCAGAGTGACCGATGAGAAGAACACAGCCTTAAAGATCGGAGGACGCGTTTTTTTCCCCGGTGGTTCTGTGGGACGTGAGTGGAATTGGGGGCTGGGAAGTACGTGCATTTTAAAACCCAGGCAAGGGAGGGACTTGGGTTTGCCCCTGGGAGCAAAAATGGCACCCGAAGGCCTTCCCAGTGAGCAGGCGCGATTTAGAAACAGTCAAGTGTTTTTAAGTCCAGGAAATTATAGCTCCAGGGCACGTATTTGCTGTTAAATAAAGGCAAGCAAAAGAAGAGAAAGGAACAGGGATGGCTCTGTAATTTGGACTACCTGGTGGCGCTCTGCGGGGGGACTAGGTGGTCTTTGTTATGTAAGGACCTACTAATTTAGAGCTGGGGGGAAGGTGCGTTATTGCTTTGTTATTACAGTGGTGGGGGAATTGCGCAATTTTGCAGAGAAAGTTTTGCTGAGCCACGAGTAGGTTGGGAGGCTGACCCGTGTTTTGTTCCAAGTGCTCGAACGGTAGAGAGGCTGGGACTGCCTCAGGTGGCCCCGAACCGCAGCTGCCTCAGGGCGGTATAGGAGCAGGGGTGCGTGGGGACTGCGCACGTGCAGGCTCGGTTTGCCAGAGAGCTGGCGCCCCCCAGGTTTCTTAGGGCACCAGACACCTTCATGAGAGAGTCTTAGCTCCGTTTGCACAGAAGAGGCTAAGTCTCGTCTGTTTTCTGGGAGCCCCATCGTGTGCAGTGAGGGAGAGAGACAGTGAGTGGCTCTCTGCCCCGCTGACCGCCCACGGCCTGGTCCTGGCCCTCAGTGGGGTGGGAGTTCACGCTCTGGTTACACTCGGCCAGCCCAGACGGCAGGCAGCCGTGGTGATGTGGGGCCCTGGCTCTGCCCTGGTGGGTGTCACACGGCCTCCCTGCCAGGCAGCTGAGCACACAGGCCGGATCGGGTTTCTGGATGTAGGGGTCATTCTATCCCCGATACCTAAGTGGACGGGGGTCCCCAGTGTTAACTGACTTAGGTCTGAGGACCCCGAGGGCAGGTGGCCTCGATCTGAATTACAGCAAGGCCTGCCCTTTTCCTTCCTTCCTTCCTTCCTTCCTTCCTTCCTTCCTTCCTTCCTTCCTTCCTTCCTTCCTTCCTTCCTCTTCCTCTTCCTCTTCCTCTTCCTCTTCCTCTCTATTTTTTGAGTTCTCAAACGAATCAGAACAGTTCTTTACTTGTATAAACTAGGATCCCTGGAGGCCACTCCTGAGCATGTGGTCAGGTCAAATGTTTTCTGGTTCCTTGGAACTGGCGGACACCCCGCTGCCCCCTGTGCTCTGGCCACAGGCGCCTGCCGGGGCTCGTCCCTGGGTTGCCCCGTAGATTTACTGCAGGATCAGTAACAAAACTCCATGAGGCAAACACAGAAACACCAGACCTTGGTCACGTGCAGCTGCCTCAAGACTCTGCAGGGCCTGCGATTCTCCTTCTCTAAACGGCAGGCAGCCAGGTAGAAGGGGCGGGGCTCCCCCCCCTCCCCCCGGAGACCCAAGCACAGTTCCTGCTGGATGAAGTCTCTGGAGGAGACCGGAGCTGCCAGCCGGAGGGAGCTGGCCCGGCCTCAGTTTCCAGCAGCATAGCAGTGAGAGAGGCTGAGCAGGCGATCTCGTCTGGGGATAGTGTGCAGTGGCTCCTGGAGCTTCCGCTGCGGGGAGGACAGTGCAGAAAGCCCATCAAGGTCATCTGTAGGCAGAGGTCCTGAGGAGCCCAGAGGCCAAACGCCCCCTCAGTGTGCATGCGGGTGCCTGGGGGCCCTGCCTGGCCCGCATGCCCTGGGAGCGCCTTCCTCCCCAGTGGCCCGCCTCCCGCCCGCTCTGCGCCCTGCCACCGCGTGCCTCTGCATACCTACGGGGTTTGTGCCACTTCTGCTTTCAGAAGCCTTTTCAGCACCGAGGCCACCACTTGCTCAAGACCACTGTGGCCCCCGCAGGGACAGTCCCAGCCTGACCCTCGCCCTGCTCAGCCCTGACTCTTGCCTCCAGCTCTCCTTCCCGGGGGCTTGGCCCCAGTCAGGTCCAGTGACCATCTTTGTTGGCACGTCCCCGGTCACCTCAGCTCTCCCTGCCTCCTCCTGGAAAGCCCCCATGGGTTCCAGGGCACTGTCCCCCCACTGCCCTCTGCTTCCTGGCCTCCTCAGTTAGCCAGGGAGCTCTGGGGGTGGGGTGGGGAGGGGAGCAGTCTGTGGTCCTGCTGGCTCACTCTACCCCAGAGCAGAGTTCGTCACAGAAGGGTCACCCCAGACATGTGGGGACATGGAAAAGGGTGACAGCAGCATCTCTACTCAGCAGGGATTTCACCTCCAGAGACAGTGGCCTCAGATCTCTGGTCTCAGAGGTGCCTGGTCAGCTCTGGCTTTACTAACTCCTCAGGAGTCACTGACTCTGGGTTTGCCGAGCCCTGCTTTGGAGCAGGCGGCTTTGCTGGCTGGGTGTGTGCACGAAGGAGCCGTTGGGGGCGGGGCTTGCGTAGCTGGACAGGACGTGAAGATTCCGGGTAGGGTGGGAGGAGGAGGGAGGAACAGCGGACACCTTTGTTGTTTGGGGCTGTAGGGGCTGAGGGGTTTGTCGGGAGGGGTCTTCTGGGTCTGCAGTGGGACGTGGCCAACGTATAGAAGGCGGTTTGGGGGAGTGCTGGCCAGATTCCTGAGCACTTGGCAGTCTGTCTGGGCAGAGAGAAATTTTCTGCAGGACACACAGCCACCCCGCGGGGATGCTAAGCTTGGAGGCCTCCACTCCTGGCTTTTCCCCCAGCCTACCTGCTGCCCCCGGGCAGAGCTGGGGTTGCCCCTAAACTCCTGGGGCAGCTCGCGGCCGCTCTCTTGTCAGCAAGGATACCAGGTGGCTGAATCGGGAGCCTGACGGGGAGGAGGTACATCGCCCAGGAGAGTCCCCGAGGACAGAGTGGAGCCCTTCCGCCACGTGGGACTTCCAGGAGAGGACGGGGGCCTTCTGCAGACCCCTGGCAGGAGGGCCTCGGGCGGGCAGGTGGGCGGGCGCTGGTGCTCCGCAGGCCTAGGTCAGGCTGCTGCCCCTCGTGGTGGACATGTGGCACCATCCGTGTGCAGCTGTCGAAGACTCTGTAGAATCCAGGCGACTGGTGAGATGGAACCCGGGAAGTGGCAGCAGAGAGGGGATACACGGTGACCTCCCTGCCTTTTGCTGTCACATGGGTCTCTGAGGTCCAGGAACAGGGACCGTGAACCTGTACGGTTTTCTGGGACATTCCTGTCTTTATTACAATTTACATAACTATTTTATTTTTCAATTATGGTTGACATTCGATGTTCTATTAGTTCCAGGTGTACAGCATCGTGGCGAGACACTTATATAGCGTATGAAGTGGTCCCCCATGATTCTAGCAAGCACCTGGCACCCTACGTGGTTATTACAGTGTTGTTGACTGTATTCCCCGTGCTGTACTTGACATCCCCAGGACTGTTTTGTAACTGCCCATTTATACTTCTTAATTAAAATTTACATAATTCTTGATGCCATTTTTCCAACAACACCAAACTTTATAGAGTCAAAATTGCAATTCCTGCTGTTCCCTCGGCCCAGCCTCCTGGCCCGGAGCTGTAGACACACAGCCAGCTTCCTCTGCGCCTTTACACACACACAGTCACAGGGGAACGTGCACCGTGCATCTGCCCTTTCGGACTCGGGAGAGACTGTGCTGTGCGTGCTCCTGCACGCCGCTTTGAGGAGCGCTGCTCAGAAGCCCCGCCTTCCTGAGCGCCGATCCCCTCTTTGTTTTCACAGCTGAGTTATATTCCGGATGCCAAACCACTTCTCCACTGAGGGGTGTTTTTGTCTTCGGGTTTTCTGCTCGCATGTAATCTGTGCTTTAGTCAGCGTTCTCGCCTGTGCACTTGGGAACACGTGACTGTTCCACGAGGAAGGGCTTGTGAACTGGGGAGTCACGGAACTGGAAAGTCTTTTATTCCTCGCCCCCCTCTCCCCTCCAGTCAGGAAGCCTTGGTGCAGACGTGACAGACAGCCTCAGTGTCTGGCCCCGCCCTGCTGGCTGTGGGCTCCGGCCGTGGGCTGGTTTGACCGGCACCACTGAGTTGCTGCTAAGCCCCAGCCCCGAGCATGGCCGGTTGGTTCCAGCAGCGGGTGACAGGCCCCAGGGGGGTGAGGACGTGTCCCCAGCCCTCACCTGCTGCTGCAGAGGAGCTCGCATGTGCGTACACAGAGCACCCTCAGCTCTGAATCCTGGACGAGGGCCCCCCCCCCTGCTGTGCCTGGAGGGGAGCTGGGTGCTGGTGCAGGTTTCTCTGAGCACCGCATGGTCTTCGGTTCTGGGTGTGTTAGATTCGGTTCTGCAGAGTTGTCTTGTAGTCTGTTTTGCAAAAATTCTACTGAGCTGACGTGAAACTGCAGAGCCTGCGGGGCCTGGAAAAGCCTTTTGACCGGAACGCGAATGTTTCCTCACGAAGCGGTCTTTCTCTTGCAGCTTTGTGGTTCGATTCCTTGTGCAGGCGCCCTGACTGCGGCCCTCGGCACCATGGATCTGCATCTCTTTGACTACTCGGAACCTGGGAACTTCTCCGACATGGGCTGGCCGTGCAACAGCAGCGACTGCATCATGGTCGACACGATGACGTGCCCCAGCATGGCCAACAAAAGCGTCCTGCTCTACACGCTGTCCTTCATCTACATCTTCATCTTCGTCATCGGCATGATCGCCAACTCCGTGGTGGTCTGGGTGAACATCCAGGCCAAGACCACCGGCTACGACACGCACTGCTACATCTTAAACCTGGCCATCGCCGACCTGTGGGTGGTGGTCACCATCCCGGTCTGGGTGGTCAGCCTTGTGCAGCATAACCAGTGGCCCATGGGCGAGCTCACGTGCAAGGTCACCCACCTCATCTTCTCCATCAACCTCTTTGGCAGCATCTTCTTCCTCACGTGCATGAGCGTGGACCGCTACCTGTCCATCACCTACTTCACCAACACCTCGAGCCACAGGAAGAAGATGGTGCGCCGCAGTGTCTGTGTCCTGGTGTGGCTGCTGGCCTTCTGCGTGTCCCTGCCCGACACCTACTACCTGAAGACCGTCACGTCCGCGTCCAACAACGAGACCTACTGCCGGTCCTTCTACCCCGAGCACAGCGCCAAGGAGTGGCTGATCGGCATGGAGCTGGTGTCCGTGGTCCTGGGCTTCGTCATCCCGTTCTGCGTCATCGCCGTCTTCTACTTCCTGCTGGCCCGCGCCATTGCGGCGTCGGGCGACCAGGAGAAGCACAGCAGCCGGAAGATCATCTTCTCCTACGTGGTGGTCTTCCTGGTGTGCTGGCTGCCCTACCACGTGGCGGTGCTGCTGGACGTGGTCTCCGTCCTGCACTACATCCCCTTCACCTGCCAGCTGGAGGGCTTCCTCTTCACGGCCCTGCACGTCACGCAGTGCCTGTCCCTGGTGCACTGCTGTGTCAACCCGGTGCTCTACAGCTTCATCAACCGCAACTACCGGTACGAGCTCATGAAAGCCTTCATCTTCAAGTACTCGGCCAAGACGGGCCTCACCAAGCTCATCGACGCCTCCCGGGTGTCCGAGGCTGAGTACTCTGCTCTGGAGCAGAGCACCAAGTGAGGCCGGGTCTGGGGATGCGCAGGCTTGCTTTGGGCCGGGCTCCCGGCCACCTTGTTTCCGGGAGCAAAGAGAAGGGCCTCGGGGCTTGATACCTGAGCGGCCCGAAGGCGGGAAGGGGTGTCACCGTGCTTCCTCCCCGTCTGTCTTTCATGCCAGCCCGGCTGTGGCGTGGCCGCAACGCTGACTGTGTCACGCTGGGCGGGGCCGTGGGCCGGTGCCACTTGTCAAAGCCGGCCGCCCCGCGGCTTACCTGGACCTCTGTACTATAGCACTCTGTTTCCTGCAGGTTTTCTATGGCGGCTTGTATTTAAATGCTAAGACTTTATTTTCTCACTTTTGGCGCTCCAAATGTATTTGAAAGTTTAAATATATTTTAAAAGTTGTACGGGAACTGTAATGCTGACATGTACTCCGTGTTGTAGTTTTAAGGTTAGGTTGACCTCGATTTGGACTAAAGGTGATGCTTGTTGGCTGTTGCGAGGTGACATGTACACCTAAATATATACATATACCCCGGCCTCGGCGGAAATGTCTTATATACGGCACTTCCACGTCTGCTTTGCACCGGAGACGAGCGCTGCCCTGCCGCGGTTTCCCAGTTGACAGTGCCTGCAGGCGCAGCGAAAGAACGAACACACGGAAGCCAGCCTGGCCCAGGCGCCCTGTCGAAGTCGCGTGCGGTCGTGCGCCTGAGAGTTCTCTCCATCTGTAACTTATTTTTTTTAAAATAAAGGTTGGTTTTTTCCTAAAAAGGCATTTGAGTCTCAGTTTTAAAAGCACGTTCGGTACTGAGGTGGCAGGTATGATAGTAACATGCAAATACACACAGCATATATAGGTCAACATACAATGAACACGTATTTTTTAGTATAGTCCTATTATTAAGGCAAAACCCAAGGGGTTCACTCGGATGAAATGATATCAAAGGAAATCACTGAAGTGTATTGAGTGTTTCTTTTATTTAAAAAAATGTTTTCCCATAATGTCTGTGAGGGAGGGGGATGGGTAGGAGGGGCTGCTGTCCAGTCAGTACTGGGAACTTCCCGATGGCTCTCGGCCAAAGGTCCAGGGCCCAGGACTCACGCGTCCCCAGGGACACACGTCACAGCTCTTTCACACTCCTGGCTAAGGTTCTGTGGTTTAAAGCCCCGTCGTCCCCTCTCGGTTCAAGAAACACTCCACTGAAAGACTAGCCCACCCAGGAGCCTCCTTCAGGCCACTGGGGGGGGTGAACAACCGAATTAACCTCTGCCAGTTTGAAGGAGCGCTCGCAGAGTGCCGATTCGCAGAGTGCCTCCTAGACGGGCCACAGGGATGGCGGAGACGTTGGCTGGCCCGTACGTCCGGGCAGGGACGCAGAGGTGGCCCGGCTTCCCAACACTGCCCGTGCCACCTCCCCTGTCGACGAGACCCATCTGCCCAGAGAGGTGTTCGCTGACAGGAAGGTAGGTTGGGCCCAGGAGCTCTGGTCTCACCTGGGAGTTGGGGGGCTGCTCTGCACAGGAAGCACCCCACACATGTCCGCTCACGCGCGGACGCACAGCGGACAGTCCCGGTGGGACCCAGGGGCCCGGCCTGCGGTGGGAAGTCGCCCACCCCTGCAGAGGGCTTTATAGCTGAGAGATTGAAACCAGGGTCTCGAATCCCTGCAAACCTGCCTGACACACGTGTTCTCAGCTGCGTACACACCCTGCCTGGTTCTGTCTGGGATTCAGGTCAGATACCAACAAGGAACACGGTGGCATGCTGGCATGACCACAGGGGAAGGTGCCAAGGTCAAGGACAGACGTGAGCAGAATGGTGAAGGGAGGTTGGTAGAAATCAAGGACCCAAACACGAACTCCTGACAGTGGAAAGGGCTGGTGTTTTCTCGGGGTGTTACTAGCGGTAGGAGCCGAGACAGAAACACGCTCCCTGGTAGGACATTCAGCGGGGTGTGAGCTGCCCCCACAGCTCGGCTGTGCAAGATGCGGGAGAAAAAAGAGAGAATCCGGTCTCATTTCAGCCAACTCAGAGGTGCTCCCCTCGTAGCCCCCCATTACCCTGGAATTTTGGGTATGCTCTGTGGGAGCGGGAGGTGGTCCTTGATCTTTATTTGTTGCTAAGGCAGCTGCTGAAATGCCCGCTGCCCCTGGTGCTCAGGCAGTGTCCTTCTGTCCCCCGTCCGGGCTTCCTGGTGTTCTGCACCGGGTGGGGTCTGGTGCGTCCGCAGGCCCTTCCCTGATGTCTCACCGCTCACCAGAGGCTCCTTCTGCCTTGAGGTGTGAAGGGACGGAGGTGAATGCTGAACTGGGTCTAGACCCACCCGCAGCCGCAGCACTGTAGGCTTTGTCGGAGACGGCTGGTCTCCATGAGGGCCCCGGCTCTGAGTTCCAAACCTCTCTGGGGTCCCCAGGGTCCCATCCATCCCTTTGTCCAGACTCAACGCCTGTCTGGTCTCAGCAGGAAAGTGGCCATCCACCCACGAGGCCCCGCCTGCTGCCCCCTCCCCACTGAAGGGAGAGGAAAGCTCTTCCACCCCCTCCCTCCCTCCCATAGGGTCCCAAAGACAGCAGGCCACCACCAGGATCTCCAGTGGCGGCCTGTAGTCCTTGAGTCAAAGTGACAGGCTTCCCATGTGGTTCCATGTCCTCATAACGTCCTGGGCTGCCCCCGTGAGGAAGGAAAACCCCTGAGCGCGTAGACAGAATTCTGGCCACTATTCGTTGCCTCTTCACAATCGTCTGGGAGCAGGGGCCTTTGATGGCCTCAGGGCTGGGGGTACACCCTCGGGGGCTCAGGGGCCCTCGGTTTTGCACTTTGGGCCCCCACCCTCTGCAGGAAATGACAGGCAGGGGCCAGACGCACCATCAGTGTGTGTACGAGGTCCACGCCAACGTTCTCCGTGTGCCTGAACATCTCAGTCACACAAAGCCGGGTCGCTCAGGTGGAGGACATGCACACGCAGCGCCAGTCAAATCTGGAGTGAGCTGGGGCGGTTTGGCTTCCGATGGAATATTGACGATACCTACTCTAAACGTCCCCAGAAAGAGCGTGGGTCCTGGCAGGGCTGCGCCAGGGTGACAGATTTAATTCTGCTTCTCTCTCGCTCAGCCACACTGGCAACTCCTCACCATGACCCTCCGCTGGCTTGCCCTGACAGTGACCCCCCCACCTCCATGAAAAGCCGATGGCAGAGGTCAAGGGGGGCGTGTACGCCAATAAGTCTGGTGAATGAACAAGTAAACGGATGAGTGAGTGCTCAGCATCCCGCCCGGGCCCACACAGCGGCCGACTGGCGTTTCCCGAGCGTTTTGCACGTCCCTTTCCTGCCGCCCAGAGCTCGGTAACAGGCCGCCTGGGCCAGCAGCGTGGGCACACCCCCGCCTCATGCTCACGGGCCTGTCCGCAGCCGGCCAACGGGGTGTGTTCACTGGTGTGTAGCTGGGGTCACCGTGTCCACGGTCCCCATCTAGGTGCCCTGGGATGTTTCCCAGGGACCGAGACACGTCCCTGGCCGTGGGGGCGGACTCGGCCTGTGAAAGAGGCGTGGTTATCTCTGTGGTATGCAGAGAATGACGGGTAATTTTGGTGTTTTTCCCATTTTCAGAAGCTTCATTTTTCTGTTGGCTTTTCATATGCTGATGCCCTCAGACCTTTGCATGTGGGATTCAGAACGGCCGCCAATCACATCGTTTCTCCCGGCCGGCTGGGGGCGGGGGGCGGGCGGGGGGCACGCTGCGGCTTCATCCCTGCCTGTCACGGCACAATGCTCAGAAGCGGCAGAATGGAGAAATCTGGATCTCCATAGCTATTTCTGGAACTAAACTGATTAAAATCATTTCTTAGGTAGGTCGGGATCCTCCCATCTCCCCCTTTTCGGGAGGCAAAGGCAGTCACGGTGGCGAGGGCATTACATCCGCTCGGGTGACCCCGAATGCGGGTTGTCACGGCAACATGTCCCGGGGCGCGCGGCAGACACTGGTGTCAGTGGCCGCGGTCTGTGGGAAAGGGCCCAGGGCCCTCCATGCCTTTCACACGCAAGCACTGGAGGCCGAGCATTCCCGCCTTTGTGCTGAGCTGTGGCCGGTGGGCGCGCCCGGCGTTTCTCAGGGCCCTTGTCACAGCGCAACTGTGTTTGGTGCGGAGCCCGAGTCAGCAGCTGCCCGGCTGCGCAGCTCATGAATGTCTTTCTCTGTGGTTGCTCTTCCACACGTGTTCCCGCTAATGTATTCACCACCCAGCCTTTGTTCATTCAGTCGCAGTTCGGACGAGCTGTACCAGCGCCCCTGTGTGCCAGACACTGTGTCTGCCTCGCTGGGAAGCCACAGACTGCTCCCAGCCTGACACTGCCACAGGGAGATCTCCTTACCGGGCACCCGGCTGGGAGTATCCCGGTGACTCTTTCTGGCAACGCCCAGAGCACAGAGGTGGAGCGATCCTTCCGAGGAGGGACCCACGGGGGGAGGCTTACAGAGAAGGGGGCCCTCCATCCTGGGTTGAAGACAGCCAGGGCTCCGGGGCCTGGCCCAGGGGACCAGCTGCGTGATGCCCCGGGACAGCAGCGTCTGGAGTGTCGTCACTGTCCTGAGTAAGCGCTGTAAGGACGTGAAGGCGTCTGAGAGGCGTCCAGAAGCTAATGAATACTGACGTCATTAATCACTGCGAGATGGAGCGGAATTCTAGGTGGGACTGGAAGGTCATGATGGCGACCCCCCGCCAAGGACAGAGAGGAGGCTCGAGGACAAGAAGTCGGGGTGGGTAGGGAGGCAGGAGGCTCTCTCAGGCTGCAGAGTGTTCCCTGGGCCCCTGTCCCCAAAGGACCGGCAGTTCTCCCGACCGCCTCCTCGGCCCTGCTCGGGGGCGCCCACTGCGGGGGGCCTGGCGGTGTGTGCAGTGGGTCACGGAGGAGCGGAGAGAAGCTGAGGGATCTTACGACTTTGATTAAATTTAGCCTTAAAATCCTAGTTCTCTCATCATCACCATCATCATTTCTCTCTCTCTAGATGTATCATATAGATGTACACACACACACACACACACACACTCAGAGACCTGGCTAATCAGCAACCCTGGCGGCAGCAGAAGACAGTAGCCCGGACCTGACTGATGGTCACAGGTCACAACCACCATGGACTAAAGGTCACGTCTTGACCTGAGTTCTGTCTCAGCCCCTGAGCCCTGAGGTGGAGTGAGCCCTTGGCGACTTTCCCACCGAGAGCAGAGGGACTCCGGGACAGACCTCAGAGCCGACCTCAACACCTGGGGGGTGATTCGTCATCCTGACCTCACCTCCGACCAGTCATCTCCCAGCTCCACCCCTCTCCCCTGTCCCCAGGGCCCTGTGACCTGCCCTGTGGAATCCGTCATCCACATGCCTTTGGGGAGGTCGGGCTCTGGAGCGTTAGCTTCCGTTCTCCAGGGCGGTGCCCTCATGATGAAGTGGCCAGGGTTTCTCCACCGCCATTCTTGGAGTCCGGTGTTCTGGGTGTCCGGCATTTGGCTTGGCAGTGCCGGGTGGACGGCTGTCCTGCTTGGTAGCAGGAGTGAGCGCATTGGAGACAATGGGCTCCCGGGGCCTCAGCCAGTCACCCGAGACCCGGTCTCCATTTCGTCCTCCCCCCGACCACACACGGGGATCTTCTTGGTCTATGACAGATCAGGTCTACCCAAACCCTGCAGGGGGTGCAGAGGCAGCCAGTGCCCATGTCTCTCTGGTTCCCTGTCCCCACGGTCGCACTCAGTCTCTGTGCAGAGAGGGAGGGCA